GAATAGAATAGAATAGAATAGAATAGAATAGAATAGAATAGAATAGAGTAGAATAGAATAGAAGAAGGAAGACTTCTAAGATCTCCAAGTCCAACTGCCAGCCCAACCCACATGCCCACTATACCATGTCCCTCAGTGCCACATCAACACTTTTCTTGAACATCTCCAGGGACGGTGACACCCCACCTCCCTGAGTACCCTGTTCCAGTGCATCACCACTCTTTCAGAGAAGAAGTTTTTCCTAATAGCTAAGCTGAGCCTCCCCTGGCAATAGAATAGAATGGAATAGAAAATAGAATAGTTCAGTTGGGTGGAACTTTGAAACATCATTTAGTCCAACTGTCTGACTGTGTCAGAGCTAACCAAAAGTACAATATTGAGGGCACTATCTAAATGCCTCTCAAACAGTGACAGTCATGGGTTTGTACCTCCAGGAACTGGTACAGAAATGCTCTTGGACACACAATCAGTAATTATTAGTTATTTGCCTTTTCACTTCCTGAAAATTTTGATTTTGAACTGAAACCTATTACATCATAATAAGCAGCTTAATAAATGTATGATGTCATATTTCATTAATTTATCTTCTAATAACAGGTTTCAACAGTAATATTTGTGAGAGCTTGTCTCTGACAGAAACTTACTTTTTGTTTTTAATTGCAAACACAGCCTTGGATGTATTCCCATGAATCGAAGAACATGTTGTTGTTTTTTTGAAGGACTTAGAACTAGGCTCATGATTAATTCACCAAATTAAATTAAACCAGTTGGCAACTCTGATTTAAAGTTGGCTCATTTTTACCCATCTGACTTCAAAATGGCAGAATGGATTTTTATCAAACTTCAGAAGAAAAAAAGAAAAATTTGCCTTTGGGAAAAGGAACAGGGACCTGAAATAGAAATAGGATACAACAATGGTATTTGTGCATCCTCCTTGGCCATTCAATGTTACATACAAGAATTGGTGGCTGGTGGCACTGCCTGCAGCTGCACGGCAGTGGTGGGATGCCACTGTCAGAGGATGAGATCCAGATACAAAAATGAGACATCAGAGCAATTCCTGCTCCAACAGGAGTGCAACTGGTGCAGCTCAGCAATGCTAACTTTCTGACCCTCTTCTAAAATGAGCTTCAGCTGTACACGCAGAACTCACATATAAACTCATAATGTTAACAAACTGGGCAGCAGCTCCTGTTGTGATCTTCACAGCTCCCCAAGGAGGGTGCTTGACTGCATAGCAACTGAAAGATGAATCCAGTTGAAAATGTACTTATCATTCACCAATAAACCCACGGAGTGAGAGAATATACAGTGTGAGGATGTGGGTGGGTGAGGACAGATCTACCCTGTGGGATCGGGTGCATGGTAGATGGGCCATCTCAAAGCAGTATCTCTGTGAGCTCTGCATCATGCCATGAAGTGTTTTGTTTCAGTCAACATGCTGAATTTTTCTGTATGCAGCGAGTTAGAATCATAAAACTGTTGGAGTCGGAAGCGACCCCTGAAGGCCATCACTCCAACTGCCCTGCACTGAGCAGGGGCACCTACAGCTCCAACAGGTGCTCAGAGCCCCATCCAACCTGACCTTGAGTGCCTCCAGGCACAGAGAACCACCACCTCTCTGGGCAACCTGTGCCAGTGCCTCAACACCTTTATTGTAAAAACCTTCTTCCTTATGTCCAGTCTAAATCTCCTCTCTTTTAGTTTGAAACCATTTCCCCTTGTATTGTCACAACAGGCCCTGCTAAAGAGTCTGTCCTCTTCTTTCTTATAGTCCCCATTTAGGTACAGAAAGTTCCTTCCTGGAGGTTTGTACAGCAGTGATTTTTAGACCGAGAGCATGAAAAGCGCAGTCTTATACCTGCTATATTTGCTGATCTTATTTCATTAAATGATTTTTCTAATTGGTCTTGCATGTTTACATGATAATGTTTCCTAAGAATAGTGTGAGAGATAAAGCTGAATTATTTTATTGTCACACACTGCAAGGGAAAAGGGACAGAAAAGCCTTTCTCCCATATAATGGGTACAGCTTGAAGTTAGGACCTTCCTTATAGTCCTAACTACATGGTCCTAAAGCTGCAGTGCCAGTAGCTTTAAGGAAGCTCTTCTATATCCTGATTTAGGACCTGTAAGTAACAACATGAACGAGAGTGGTATTCAACATCCAGTTTATCAGAGCAGAATTTTAATTCTTCAAACTGAGATGATCATTCAAAACCAGTGTCAAGAACAGCTTACATAAATCATGTTTTAAACCAGCAGCACCTCTGGAGAATTTTTCCAGCTACAAACCTTGCTATCATTATTTGTGTCTTTGTTATTGCAGTGCCAGACTCCTGCATTGTGCTTAGTATGACATCAAAGCTTCAGACAACCCATCAGCCAAAGCTGGTGCAGACACTGACATTACACGTGGCAGCTGTGTGTTGCTGGGGAGTCCGGTCCTGCCAACTTAGACTAGCAGCCTTGTTTAGGTTTTGTTTGTTTATTTCTCGCCAAGATGCCAAAAGTCCCAAACCTACCTGTTTGTAAGGGAGCAGGTTCCCACCTTCAGGGAGATGCCTTCAGCCCTATAGCAGACACATTGCAGGATGCCAAATTTCTTTTGCCTTGTCTTTGCAGCCACCTGTCCAGGCAGACCCTGCAGTCATGGGAGAGACCTCTCTTCCTACACAGCGCCTTTGGTGTAAGGAGCAGAGTGGAGTGTGGAAGGATCTGTGAGCTGTGTCCTGGCTGTTTGCAACAGAACGGCCCTGCTTGGGGGAAGAAGTCCATGTGAGGCATTCAAGGTTGAATTCTCTGGCTGATCCTGCATTTCCCATGGGCTGGTGAGAGCTCATGGAACACTTAATATTTAAACTGTTGACACAGTGCCCAATTTAGACAGCAGCTTCAGCCTCACCCTCGTTTGGAGAAGTGTGTTGGCTGGGGGAAAGCCGCATGACCCGAGCAGCCAGCACAGAATGTCCTGGGGCTGCTTCACCCCGCGCGGCTGGGCTGCGGCTGGGTTACATCTGCTCTGTACGTCCAGGGAGAGTGTGACTTCCACTGGTTTCCCAGCACAAGGTCTATTAGATGAGACTTCACAACACAACTAGCTGGACAATATTTGTGAGTTTTTCCTGGTTTTTTGTGCTTTTTTTTTCCTTCAAAAATTCTAAAAATGTGAAATTGCACTGACTCCAATGAAGTGCTTTTCAGCTGCCTTAAAAGTAAATACTTCAAGTTTAGTAACCGTTTTGCTCTCAGTTTTTGTGAATTTCCCTCCTTCCTTTGCCTGCCTGAAATTTTGCATTGCAAATTTTGTTGATATGACTCAAAACATAATTTATTCTCGGACGTGAATGCTCCAAAGATATATCAACAAAAACCGAAACCTTCTTGACACTGATGATTTCACATGCGGTAAGGAAATCAGTCTGAAATTTCTAAAACAACTCCTTTTTTAGACTCTCTTCTTTCTCCAGTTTAAGAGGACGTTGACTTTAATGCATGATAGCTGGCAGAGCAATGCACCAAGCTCTGCCCTCTTGCTACCACCCAAACTTTTGGAGGTCAATCCACAGTTGTATTTCCTATAAATGTGTTCATGCTTTTTAAAACTTTGGATAATATTATGATGTTACTTAAGTGCCTAAACCATTGAAAAGTCTGAGGAGCCTGGATGTTTAAAACTTTTGGACGTGTGGATCTCTGTCGTTATTTGAATGTTTGATAGGTCAGCACAATTAATGCTGCAATGTCCCTCCTGTTATCAGCAGAAATTCTTTCAGGACCCGGTAACATATTGAATTTAATGGGGTGTTTGTTGCTGTAAAGCTGCCTAATCTGGGCTTCCAGGAATGTCAGGTGTGGCTTACTGTAAATGTGGATTAATATAGTACAATTGCTGGAATTCTAATCTAGACAAAATATTCCTCATAACAGACTGGAGGATAGATATCTAGGGTGGTTGTGACCCCTGTCTATGGTTATGAAGGGATTATTAGCATCTTCTGCTGAACCACAACTGGAAGAAATCATTAAGTGCTTTTCCCTGTTGCAGTGTGAGATCTTGCCATGGAAACCCAGGGTACAATAGATGAAACAGAAGAGAACAGGGAGGCAAGGTGAGATTAACAGAACTGAAATCTCACTTCAAATTAAATGAGACAAGAAGATGAAGTAGTTTTTCCAGCAGCACTGGAGTATGTACTGTAAACAGTATGCACTCTTATCTCTTTAATATAATGAAGGCAGGAGGAAAAAAGCATCACAGAACCTCTCCAGAGTGGCAGATTAGCAGGAACTGTAACTCACCACCACAGCTCAAAAAGATTTACGTTGTGCTGCTTCCCTCTTCATTCTCTCGCTGTTTAACCATCAACACTGCAGACACTACCCACTTGCTACTTCTCTTTTAAATCAATCAAGTAGTTGGCTTTTATGTTTCTTATTGGGTGGGAAATTCCTCTAGGTTGAGCCGTGCATCTGTGATTTTGGAGCAAACTGTGGAAGGTTGAATCCCCTCAAGTGTTTGGACCCTTGAAACTAAGGGCTGGTTGTTCAGCTTCAGAGAGCTTCAGTTCCAAGCAAATATGAGAACGGTGGGAAGTCCAAGAGCATTCTGTGGCAGGGGCATAAGGACACGTGGGTGCAGCCTTTCAGCTCAGAGGGCTTGAGGGATTTTGATTGTGAGGACTGGCACACCAGGCTTGTGAGAGAGTTATGAGTTGAGTTGTCACATACGAAGGAAGTAAGGTAATGATTTTACATTAGATATGGGCTTTGGACTCAGTGGGGAAAAAAAAGATCCAAAAAAAAAGAAAGCCTCCTTTTTCTTTTCACCTATGATCGTGGCTGACCACACATTCCCTCTTCCCCATTGACCCCCCTTAGGGTTTCCTCAGCCCTGAGAGACAAATTGTAGCACCTTGGCCTCTCTGCACATCCTTATCTGCACATCCAAATCTTCTTGGTGACTTCAGGAGAACAAATCTTTTAACCTAAGATGTTTGGAGCTTAATAATCTGCCTATTAACAGATTTCAGTTAAATACCTCAATGCCTTGAATCAGTCAGTTCTGAAAATGATACTGTCTCAGCTACTTTTGGTTAGCATAAAAAGGTCCAGCCATGCTTGAGTACTTCATTTGCTTGTAGAAGTAAGAGCTTATATTTTTTACTCCTCAAAATCAAAGTAAGTTACCTCATAGCAAAAAAAAAATAAAAAAAAAAAAAAAAGAAAAAAAAAAAAAAAAAAGAAAAAAAAAAAGAAAAAAAAGAAAAAAGACAAGGATTTAGTCTGTTTTCCACTTTGCTCTGGGCAATAGCATAGAGCTTGTGTGCATCCAACTCTTGGTACAACCCAGTAGGATACTTGGATATGTAGAAAACTTTGCTGAAGTTGTAGCAAAGTCCTTTGGACACACATTTTAAATGGCATAACAAGAGTTCTGCTATGAAGTTCAGGACAAGTTTGAGTGCTCTGGATGGTAAGTTCATCTGTTTTTTCATAGCTCAGTAATATGGATTTGGCCTAAAGACAGTGACTTAAAAATGGAAACCTCTTGTATTGAAACCAGCAGAGAAAAAGTTCTCCTTTAAAGGTTGTATTTGTTATGTTACTTTTGTTCTGGGTAGGAAAAAAGAAAGCAAACCCAAAAGCCCAAGAAAGATTCCTAACCAATTGATAATTAACAACTTTCAAGTACATTTATGTCCACATACATTTGTTTTCTTTTTTTAAAAAAAAAGAAATATTTTTAGTGTTTTAACACTAAAAAAAAGGAAGAAAGGAAGGAAGGAAGGAAGGAAGGAAGGAAGGAAGGAAGGAAGGAAGGAAGGAAGGAAGGAAGGAAGGAAGGAAGGAAGGAAGGAA